GGAAAAAGATGGAAAATCTCTCAGGCAAGGAGAGCAAAACTCTCAGCAATGTGCAGCTATCACTTTTGCTTGGTATAATGTGGTTCCTTCCATCACGGAAGAGTTTACAGGCCATGTAATGAGCATGGACCACATGGAAAACATTGTCAGTGGAGTTTCTGTTTTTCCAGAATGTTTTAGCTGGGTTTGGTTTACCAAATCCACAAAAAGTGGTCAACTATTCTACACATGGGCTAGAGATTGCCTTCTAGATGAGTCCATGTGCTCAGCTAGCAAAAATGCAGGGCACATTTTTTTCTTTAAACTTTGAACTTTTCAGAAACAGGTTTGGATTTTTTTTTTCAAAGTGCCTAGAACCAAAAAGTAAAAGCAAACAAAAATAAATTAAATAAACTCTTTAAAAGTTTTTTCAACGCTGGGGTGACACTATTGACTACACAAAAGTTACTGTTGGCTGTGAATTTCTGTGGATGTGGAATGCTAATATTCATATGGCATGGCAAAATATACTTTGTCAAGTGCGTAAAGCAAGAAAAAAAATACAGTAAAATGAAAATTGTCTTTTTGTGACCCCCAACAAAGACTGTAATTGGAACAGCTCCTTCAACCTGTCCTAAACAAGCAGAAATCTCTTTCTACATGAACAAGCTCTTTCTTCATGAACTGCCTCTGCATACCATCTTTCAACATCTTTCATATCTGGATTTGAAATTAAAATCTAACTAGACAGTGCAGATGTTCTGTACAGATGTACATACATACGTGAAGTAACAGAATAGCCTGTAACAGGATCTCTTAGTGTATACTTGCTGGAGTCTGTAGAAAGCTTGTCAAGGTCACAGTGAGTTGTTTCACAAAATACTAGGAAAATACTAGGACCTTGTTGAAAACTGGGGATAGCAGGATAGATACTAGGATCACTGAAAGCTATGGCTTATATATTAGACTTGTGAACAGGATCAGAGATGCTGCGTGCGCATTTTTTTGCCAGTGGAGGAAAATGAGGGTGGATGACACTGAAGCCTGAAATAAGCAGGATTAAAAGTAGCAACTGCTACCATTAAATATATCTTTCTTTGGCAGGGTCTTTTTTTGCTTATATAGCAGGTATGCTTTTATATATATTAATCACAGATGGACAAGATACTTCATGAAGTAACCAGCTCAGGCTGTACAAAGGAGAAATTATAGTATGGCTTTGGATTCTGAATGAAAAAAAAATACATGCTGTAAACTGAACTTTATTAAGGCCTATTGTGATTTGTCACCTATGGAAACTAGTGAACTCGTACGGAAAAAGAGCACATAGACTTCATGGATGTGCTTTCTACTGGGAATTGCAGTGCCTCTCTGCCGCAGGCGAGTTGCCAGAGGACTGCTGTCAGGGTAGTGACTGAAATGGTTCATGTGGCTTCTCACAGGTGTCCAAAAAAAGGCCTGCCAGGTGGAATGGGCAGCAAAGGAAGACTGCTGGGATAAAATAAGAAAAGGAAGCTTAATTTGGGAGGGATTAGAGGAATGCAGCTTGGCTGCTTGAGGGCCCTCTATAAGCACATCACAGCGGTAAAGCAGCCCAGATAGGCACCCAAAATTTGAATGAAAGCTAGTGCTGGCATGATAAAAAAAAATATGTAAACTCCCACAAAACTGAATTGGAAAGGACATAAATAAATAAATAAATGATCTAATCCTTTGTGGGGCTCTGGGCCAGTCTTCTACCTGGGGCAGGGGATTTCAGTATTTCTAAGAACATGACAAGCCCGTGGATTACAGAATTTGCTCCTGATATCAGGGAGCTGGATTCACTGATTTTGTAGGCTCTTCCCAGTCCAGTTTAGATGAGTATGGGCTAGTCCAGTAACTGCTACTGTGCTGTTATTGTTTTCTGTGGCAGTGTGTCAACACTGTAAATATCTGCTAATTTGGAGTTACTGAAGTACAAGTAAGCTTTGCCTCCTTCTGCATTTGTTTTTCAGGAGTTTGCCCTGCCATCTTCTGAAAATGCTTCTCTTGATGGGAACAGACACATTATTAATTCTCTGTACTCTTGCTTATGTCAAAAAAAAAATAGGCTTTTAGACATGGCTAAAATAATTTCCACATGCTTATGAGTTGGCTTACATTTTCTGGTGGGGAGCAAAAAGCTGGCTAGACTGTTGGACCTCCCCATGTCTCCTGTGATTATAGTAGAGCTGTTTGTTAAATAATGAATGCCTAAGCCCATGTTTCATGTACTACTGGCCAGAAATTACTCATACAAACTCTTGGCACTATCTCCGAAACCGTTCTTAGAAAAGTCAGTTTTACAAAGTGCAATCCAAAATATCCAGATGACAAAAACATAATCAAATGTACATTTTTACAGTAAGTTTTATGTTCTGGCTTAACTTTTATGCATTAAATAGGTAGCTTTTCACAATTAAAAAAGTTCTTGATTTAGTGCTTAATAGCATCCGTCAAGATTGAAATATAATAGTATAAGCGGAATACTAATAAACTGATGGTTTATTTTGTTGACAGTTTATTTATGTCAGTGATAAAATATCAATATAAGAAAAAATGACGCTGAAGAGAAAACAATGGTAGGAAGGGGTTTGAAAGTCAGCAACTGGTTCTAAGTGGGAATTAGATACTAAGTCTCAGCATGACTAGATAATTTTTAGCTCTCTAAATATATCTTTTGAGTGGGAAGCTGGAATATAGAAGCTGAATGCTGCCTTAATTTTTAAACTGGTTTCAACCAGCTAGATTTGCGGAAACTAAGTTGGAAGCAAAAGCAAGTTTTTTTTATAGAAATATCAGTGTTTGGGGACTTTCCCCCTGGGAACTGTTTAAAATTGTTTTATTATGATGCATTTGTTGTTTGCTGATCTCTGGTAGATACCAGAGATGCTACTTTGGCTCACCCTTGCATTCTTGGATTAGAGCACTGAGACTTCTATATTCTGTCTTGTTAAATTTGTGCTTATTATTTAGGTGACTATATGAATGGTGCTATTGCTCATCCACATCGAAATGCAATTAAAAGCCCAGATTCATCAAGTAATGGACTGCACTTTCCCTGGGGTCCCAAATTCTCTGAGCTCAGAACTGTGCCATGAAACAATTCTGCTACAGCATTTTTTACATTTTTAACATGGAAAATGAGTATCCGTTTTAAAATTTCAATGAGGAACTGCATACCATCTACAAATACTTGCAGAGGTCCATACATTAGTCACATCTATGCGCTAGTGTACATCTGAAGCCTGCTTACCCTGCCCCTAGGATAAAAACATTTTTAATCTTTTCTGTGAATATGCTTGATAAAATCTAAATTCCCAGTGCAGCTAAAACAAAAGATTAGAAGATCATAATTAGGAAATGTCTGAAGACTTGTGCTTTTATTTTTCTAACAATGCAATCGAAGGAATATTATGCTAAAAATAAGAGTCAAAGTAGGAAAAAAAGCAATAAAAATCTACTTACATTGTGAAAAGCAATTGTATTTCTTTAACTGGACAGTAAAGGAACTATTTTAAGTGCTTCCTTTTGCTTCAAACAGGTGGCTGAAGCATGCTATTTGGAGTTCATTTACAGTCAATTGATTCATGGCTAATAACTTAAAAATACTACACTTCCTGTAAGTGTTATGGTCAAAATGTGACAGTCAAGCATGAGGCCCAAATTAAGTTGTATACTTTTTAAGGAAGAAAAAGCATTGACATTTAACCACACTGTATTTTCAAGATTTTAGTTGAAATTCATATGAGGAGTCCCAGGTTAGAGTGGTTTTATTTGCCATACTTATTAACTCCAGTGTGCAGTGGGGAAAAAGAAAAAAAAAAAAAAGGTATAATAATGTAGGTATTCAGGTTAGGAGGCTTTTACCATCACTGTGTCTTTTTAATCTGTATTTCTTCTTTATTTTTTCTTTTTAAATGCTGTTACCTTCTACTCTCAATCTCACATGCACCTCTCATGGAAATTCAAAACATTTTGCAAATATAACTGGTATTACTCTCATAACATTTCTACCCTTCTTCTACATGAAGTAGTGATGCAGAGAAACTGGATGCAATCTTGAGCAAACTACTTAGAGACTGAATCATTGCTGGGTTACAAAACTGTGAAATCTTGGCTTCACCAGAGTGAGCAGTGAAACTCCTATGGAGTCCAGCATAATCAGACCTGGTGTCTCAATTCATGGTCCTGTCCATTTTAGTGATAAGCTGGAGGAAGCCTTGAATCTGTGAATGAGAGTATTTAGTCAATAGCTTTCCATATATTTTCTCATAAAGTTGCAGAATTGGAGAACACTCAAATTATCCTTCTGTTCAGTGCTGTAGTCTCTGCAGTGAAAACATGCTCATGTATTTTGCAGGTATGAACAATGCTTCGACTTTAGCATTCCTATATCTCTATAGCTGAAAAAAGGGGAGGTAAGGGAGAAATCTTTCTTTGAACAATCTTTAGTGATACTTTGCAAAGTTGTAAAGGAAAGTTCTGAAAATCATTACAAGATTTGAAGGCTTATCCATGTTCTTATGCAGAAAAGTGTTTTTTTTTCCTTCTGAATCACAGAATCACAGAATTTCTAGGTTGGAAGAGACCTCAAGATCATCGAGTCCAACCTCTAACCTAACACTAACAGTCCCCACTAAACCATATCCCTAAGCTCTACATCTAAACGTCTTTTGAAGACTTCCAGGGATGGTGACTCCACCACCTCCCTGGGCAGCCCGTTCCAGTGCCTCACAACCCTTTCAGTAAAGAAATTCTTCCTAACATCTAACCTAAAACTCCCCTGGCGTAACTTTACAGAAGTTACTTTTCTGTGAAAGGCCATCACTAGGAGTATTTTCAACACTGCAGCTAGGGCCAAAAACTTTCTCAAAGTACTCTCACAGGAATGAAAATAAGGATTGTATCTTTCAAAAAAAAATAAAAATGTTTATTTTGAATATTTAATTCAAAAGCAGTATACATATCTATGTTTTTTTCTTCTTCTGTTCATAAAGCCTCTGCCTCCTTGTCATGACTCTACAGAATCTATGCAGGTGTACAAACAGCACTGCAAAATAGCAGAAGAGTACCATGAGGTGAAGAAAGAAATTGCTTTACTGGAAGAAAGAAAGTGAGTAACTTCCGCAAAGTATTTACTGCATTAGATAATATTTTTTAGATAATATTACTGTTTTAGATAATATTTTGTGACCTTATTCCTCTGCCCAGCAGTCACTGTACAGCACAACAGTTAGGGCCTTGGTCCTTAGGATCAACTGGGAACACGAAGGACACAGAGCTGTCATAGCTCTGGGCCCCCAGTTTTACAGATGTCTCTTAAAACCTTCACTGACAGTATTAGGACATTTTATCACATAACAGTATGGTTCATCTGGTACAAGTCCCCTTTAGAGTTTTAGGGATTTTTTTTTGCAGTGTAACTTTATATGTTTTATTGAAAAGCTTAATGAATCCTCAGTTTGGTGTAGGTAACTTGACAATATTAGTAAACTTTTTCTATGCATCATCATGTACATTCACATTTTAGTTGTTCATATCCAAAGTGCCTAAGCTGGACGTAGGCTTTTATATATATATATTTTTTTATTTTTTTTTTAATTTTTATATATTATCTGTATTCACATCCCTGTCATTTTCACATGACTATTTAATGGCAAAGTGTTTTCTGTGATTATTTCCACAAGAAACCTGACAAAGGAATTTTGAGAGAGGAAGGAAGGTGAGCAGTGAAAGGTTCTACCAGACAACCAACCCCAAGCAATAACAGTTACTGCTAAATTTCTCCTGCAAATGCTTTTTTATTTTTATATTCACATTGAGGGTGACTTCAAGAAGTGTTGCATTACTCAAGAAGAATTACCTCAGTGTGGATCTAGGAGGCTTCTTGGGAAAACAAAGACACAATCATTCTTCCAAATGCTGCATGAAGTTTCTGTGATTGGTGTAGCATATGGTGAAAGAAGGAATATAGCTCGTAACTATGTATGGAAGAGAAACAATCTATGGAAGAGAGACACTCAGACACTATTTGAATGCATTTTTATATATCTATACAATTTGTGGTACTAGCCGAATTAGAAATATTTTGCTCCTTCAGAACAGCACATACATGCAAAAAATTGTTTATCTGAACTCAAAAACTATCCTAACCTCCGAGACCAGAAGTCAGCCTCTCAGCAGTGTCATTCGGGATGAATTAAGGGGCTTCAAGCTGGCATTTTCCTTCATTCCACCAGTGGATGTCAACAGTGGAATAATGTGAGGCAGTTTCCACTATTTCTACCTTTGCTAAACCTGTTTTGTGGACAGAAGATTTCATTCCCCAGTAAATATGTTAATGCAACAGCAGCTGAATAAGGCAACAAATAGAATTCTATTATTGTCCTTTGTTACGTGCCTCCTGGTTACATATTTGTGGCTTAGATGTTCATGTGCTGTGTAGCTGTGAAGTGCTTAGACATGAAAGGTGTCAGTGCAGCACCTTTCATGACCTCCCAAATCCTTTAATCAGAAGAAGTAACCCTACAAGCACTAGAATTGAAGATGCTTAATTTCCTACAGATTGGTGCATTGTGGTTATTTGATTTTGAGGTTTAAAAAGCTGCAACTGCCAGCGGAAGCTTATTTTTCCAGGGAATTATTTATGAAGTCCCTCCCTTCAGGTAGATTCTCTATTGTGTAGTGTTTTGGAGGAGGGCTCATCATACTGCCTTCCTCCTTTGGGTTCTCTGTCTTTTCTGTAGCAGTAAGGGGTAGGGGAGATTGTTTGTTTGTTTGTTTTAAACCTTCCAGAAATGGGGACTTCTTTGGCCTGTAAAATTTGGTTGAAATCAGAAAGTGGATTAGAAAGTTACTAGGACAGATGGACCTCTACACACATGTAAGCATACATGACCTAAATAAATTTATCTTGATTTTTGTATAAAACTAGGTAAAAGGAGGTACGACTGTGGAGGTATAGAAGAAAGCAAAACATAAATGAGGTTTTTGGTCTAGCGATCACTTATTTATATCTAGAGACATTATCAACAGTAACAGTTTGAAAGTTAAAGGAAGTTTATGGGATAGCATATGCTGAATTAAAGAGGTGAAGAGTAGATCATGACATCTGGGGTGACACACATATTGACTATTCCTCTCAAGAAAGATGATTCGTCTTTTCTATAAGAAATCTGGTGTGGTGCACAGCTTTTAGACTCAAAAGCAGTTATAATCCAACTGAAAATATGGAGTTGTCTGCAGCTTTCTGAAATTTGAGCAGATTAGGAACTGTTCCAGGTGTCTTGATCTTCTACATCTGAATTTAACTATATGGAAATGCAGATTCACAATTGTCTAATACATCTGCTCTCTGTTACTATTGTCCATTTCTTTTAAATATTAATTTTATAAAATGGACAGAAGTAGAGTTTTATGCTTTTTAATGTGAACAAGTAATTTGTGCAGTGTTCTTTGACTTACATTTTTACCGAAGACAACAAGACACAAGCCCTGCCAGTGTTTTGAACTTCTTCACCATAAGTCAACTCACCTGTGAAAGTCCAATGTCAAGTCCTACCTGGCAGTGGTACACAGAATACTGAAGATGATGATTATCAGGAACAAAGCAGAAAATGGACTAAAAATTGACTAAAAATGGAGAAAAATTTGGTAGCTAGGAGAAAGAAATTATTTTAAGTTAACCTGAAATAAATATCTATAGAAGTATTGCACATATTTAGTAAAACAAACAAGAGAAAATACATTTTTTTTCCATCCTGCAAAGTTCAATTTAACATTGTATATATGAAATAATACACACAGGTGTATTTCTAAAGGATGTGTATTTAAGAACTAGAAAGGTGAATAACATTGTTTTAAAATAGTCAAAAATATTTACTCTTTTTAAAGTTTTCAAAGGTTTTCAGTTCTTCTTAGTTCTTCTTGTCTCACACTGTGGTGTGTGAATTATGTATGGCTGGAGTATGGAAAATCAGTGGTGTGAAATCACAGAGCTTGCTTTTCTTCAGAGCAAGAACAGAGCTTATTTGCCCCTTTCTGTTGTGTGCAATGCAGCTTGCAAGAGAGTGTACTAGGTTGACTGGGAGGGAAGATAACTATTTTACATGGAAATAGGAAATGTAGAAGAGCAGGGGAGGTTGTATGTTCAAAAAGGCTCATGGGGCAAAGCAAATGAGAAGGGAAAAAAGTTAGGAAAAAGACAAATAAAAGGAAGCAAGAAATTGAAGGAATTTAAGAGAACATCAGGTAGATTTTTTTTTGCTAATAAAAATCATCATAGCTCTGGTTGCAGTCTTCACTCTAACTCTTCCCAGTTATGCCATTTATGCCAGCAATATGTATTAGAAGGGACAAAATCACTCTGGAATGGGAGACATGATCGAAAAGAAAGAAAAGGGTGTGGGAGCGAGAACACACTACATTTAGGTCACAGAATGTTATTTAATTTATGTTCCAGAAACACACATGTATTTCCATAACAGATGTTTTTGGGTATCTAAGTTTGGGTGAAAGGGATGGGATGGCTGGTTATTTTGAGCACTTGTTATATTGCTATTACTAGATAATGACCCTGGATTATGTAGTTAAATATTAGAGTTGCCATGGTTGCTAGCTATATCTTATATTCTTAGCTCTGGCTGGTTTTCTCTTTTTCCTCCCCCAGACAATTCTAATATAACTTTCCAGAAAATATCACTTGACCACCACCTGGTTTAGGATTGCTCTTTTTCTTTGCAATGGAGATGATTGCTTTTCCTTCCTTCACATGTGTTGCAGTAGACATGCAGTGGAGATGTCCACTTAATTTTGTGGGATATGCTTTAAAATGCTCTCGTGACCCAAGGAGTTTTTCTAAGGTCTCAAGCCCAAGTGGTTCCTCCAGGCACACTTTCTGGAGAGTACCTACACTGTTGAGACAAGTAGTCTTCAGGCTTGCAGGTACTGCAGAAAAAGATTGGTCTAAGACATAAAGAGAACCTTTTATCTGACTAATTTTTCCATTCTAGACCTGATTTTTCATCAACTCAAACACATCCAAAATACCTGTTAACTTGCCAAATCAGTAGAAATAACATCTCAAATACAAAGAGAAATCTCATCATGTCCTGCTGTAGTAATGAATACTTCCATACCTTTATGTGCTGGCATCTGAGGAATGGTTTTATTTACATTAAAGTAGGCTATCTCCATTTTAAGAAATTAGTTAACAGACTTTGAACACACAAGGGCAGTCTCCTCAGTCAGCAGTTACCTGACGGGAATCTCCTGATTCCTCCTGACATGAAAGTCAAATACAGGAAGAGTAAATGACCTTATGGCCACCAGAACACAGACACGTCAGCTAGGAAGAAGTGTGTAGTACCACAGGTTCATGATCATGAATGTGTTGCTCACAATCAGGTGAAGACAAAGGCAGCTCTTTGCACTGTGGAAGCTGTTTGCCTTGAGTCCAGTTCATCTCCAAATAGAGTTAATCTGGAATTCTGGAATTAAGTATATTTGTCTTACCTGACACTTTTCTTGGTATTTATTTTTTGTTGCTGTTTTTTTGTTGTTGTTGTTTTGTTTTTTTTTTTCTCATGGTCTGGTCTGGCTTGTGGTTTATTGGTTTTTGATGCAAATCACACTGGTCTTCCCTTCTCACCCCAACCCCTCCCCCAAAAAGAACACTTAAAGTGCACATTACAGATTGTCTCACAGCTTCAAGTACCCCAGCACCGTTTTAGAAAATACCTTATCAATGCTGTTAATATTTAAACACAGGGTAACCATTAACAGCAAGCACAGATTACACAATGCTAGATCTATTTATTAGGCATCCATAACAAAGACTAGATGGTGCAAGAGTTTAGTATGATGTTCTTTAACCTCTGAGAGCTAAGTTCAAATCCTGGATTAGATCAGAAGCAAATGTTAGTTACTGTCCTCATCCTTTTGTGAGCTTCGTAAACCACACCATTCATAACATTTAGCAATTCCCTGGTACTCTAATTTTAGATCTCTGTGGCAGGCTGGCAGTATTTGCCTGAAACATCACCCTACCCTGTAAACAGGTGTTGATCCTGATGGGAAGGGAATAAGTAGGTTCTGCTGACTCAGAACAGGGCAATTTTACTACCTCAGTGCAAGGAAACTGCATTCTGGGAGGGAGGTACTAGAGAGTGGACTGCAGAAATGAGGATACTTTGATCTTAGCTCTTGTTTGCTTTGTTTAACAGCAAAGCTTAATCCCAGGAAGAAATAAGAAAGAAAAAAAAAAAAAGCCACCTGCACTGCTTTAGGTTTATTAGAGGGCAACATGAAAACCATGCTTGCACATAGCCTCATCTTATCAAATCAGGAGTGCCATTCATTACTAGAGCTGTCTGAGTTTGCACGCTGTCTGCCTGGCTCAAGTCCAAGTAGAGTAGACAGTACCTTTCTCCCACAAGTACTAAAATTCCTCATGGCAAAGGTTTACCTGCTCTTAAGAAGCTGATTGCTTATTAGTGTGTTCACTGCACCTCCCTTTAAGAACCTTGTAAAGTGTAAGAAAAGTAAGAATTATTACAAATAAATGTCTTTGGAAGACTTAGTCAACAGCCTGTAGTTTGGAAAAGTTTCATTTAATCCATCCATCCATCCAACATTGTACCAGTAGAACAATTGCACAGAAATACTGCTGAAGCTCTCTTTTGGTCCTAAGAGACAAAAACCATCTAGACGAAGCCCAAAGGGCTGAACTTGATTGAGGCTGTTAGACTAGTAAAATCTCACTGTCCTTAAATATGTTTCTTACTCTCTAAAGCATACTTGCAATTAGTCCTTTGTGGTTGATAGTCACATTAATAGGAGCTAGAATATCACATTTTCTAGCATGATTAGTTCATCTTGGCCAATATGAAAACTCTTTGATCTAGCATGGTCTAAGCAAAGAGAAATGAATCTGGCTTGCTGCTTTAAAAAAAAAAAAAATAAAATAAAGCTGTATTGTGCCAAATGTTAACAGAATTCTGCTGAAGAAAAATAGACCCTTAACATTTTTTCTTGCAGAGCTGATCAGATATATTTTATATCTGGTGAAAACAAACAGAAGAGACTTTGCTACAGTATAGCTGATGTGCATTACACCAGTGACATAAAACAAAGCTGACATTTAGCTACAGGAGGTCTTCGATATACTACAACTTTCAGATGATTTAAATTGCTGTAATGGCTGCTAACTGTTCCCTATTTCTTTTTTATATGAGAAGCACAGCTGGAAGAAATGAGTGTGCCAGGGGTCTTTTGTGACTCCTTGAACTGCAGTAACTGTGACTGCAGTCAGCTAAGCCATGGGTAAACTTTGCTATCTCTCAAAACTGAAGATTAGACTAATCTTAAAAGAAGGCCAGATAGGAGAACTCTTATTTCAAAACCCAGGTGCTTTAAGTTACGCTGCTGGAAGTGGTAATTTTACAGGTACATGTAATGCGAGTGCTCAATTTGAAACATTATCCTTTTGGGAAGACTCTGACCTGCGGAGACAGAATTCCTTTTCTGTAAGAATTTCCTGTATGAAAGCACTGGTCCAGCTTGCCAGGGGGCTCCTGCAAAGAGTGCAGGAACAAGCTACCCACTTTGAAGGCATTACATCTTCCCACAGATGATCTACCAGCATTATTTTGACATGACTGAGAAGTAAAGTCACAGGGCTACAAAGAGTTAAAAGATTAACTAATCTCCAAGATAGAATGATCAAACGAGCTAAGAACCCTTTAGAAGAGGCTTCCTGTAGCAGGAGTGAAGAAATGATTTGACTCAAAGGGAAATAAAGCAGAGACCAGGCTAGTCTGCTGGGTAACTAAGTGGAGAGCGATTAGATACCCCATGAGTTACTCATGCATTCAGTGTGTTTTGTTTTAAGGCCTCTTTTATCTCAGCTCCTGCTGAGGGAATTTCAGCTGATACCTACAGGGGGCTCCGGCTCCTGGCCAGCCCTGGGAACACAGGGCACTGAGGGACTCGCTCCAGGAAGAAGCAACAGCTTGAATCCTCAAGTGTCTGCTCTTAAAAAGACCAGGAGGGGTCAGGTTTGCAGTTGGATGACTATACCGCAGCAGAAGGACTAAGAGCTGAGAATAAAAACGTTATGGACACAATATGTAGAATTTGGGTTCACGTGCCTAGCATTTACCAGAATATATATTTTTTTTCTTTGTAGAAAAGAAAACAAAACCAGTCATACTTCACAGAACATACTCATAAAGCTGAGCAGCTGAACAACAACAACAAAAACCCTTGCTCACTTTGAAATACATTCAGTATTAAGAGAAAAAAAAAAAAAAAAAGTTATTTTTCTTCTGCAAGCAAAATTCTAGTGTATGGTCCGAAGGGAAGCTGATTTTCTTTAATAAGCTGCAAGGCCAGCTCTGACTGAAGTTAGAGATACTGACTTGAAGACCATCTGCATTTTGCAGGTTTGGTCACTGAATAACAGACCTGTGAGATTTTGGCAGGTTCATACTTTGAAGGAAAAAGGATGACTCTGACAGATTAGGTTTCTAGACCTGCATTTCACAACAGCTCAGGTAATACTGTATCAACAGCCCGTAGCCCAGCTTTAACCTGACACATGACAATACGTGTTTGCTCACTGCCATTTTTAATCTTCGCGGCTGGTTTGCTTGTTTGTTTGTTCTTGTCAGAAAGGAGCTGATTGCCAGGCTGGAACAAGTGGAAAAAGAAAGCATGGATGCTGCTCAGCTGGCGAAGGAGTACGCGGAACTGACGGAGGAGAACCGAACGCTGAAGCTGGCCCAGACGCAGTGCGTAGAGCAGCTGGAAAAGCTCAGAATACAGTACCAAAAGAGACAGGGATCCTCGTAACTCACAACTGGCGTATGTGAGGCAGTTAATACAGGATTGGCCCTGTGCTGGAAGGAGATTTTAAAATAAAGGTCTGTTTAATATGTTATAATACTTCACTACAGATACAGAGTATGTAGAAGTCTATATTTGATTTAATGCTTGCCAGCCAGTAGCTTAATATAATGGATATTTCATCCATTATATAATGGATATTTTATTTCAAGTAACATAATTGAAGTTAATCTATCCCCATTATATGTTCTGGTAGATCAGGTTTCTTTTCTAAACATATTTCTTCCAATTTAAGAAGATATGGACACACTAGAAAATGATATAAATAGTCTCTGTGTTGGGAATTTGGACCATACTAAGGCATACAGCAGGGACAATGTTAATATATGGAATACATGTATGTTAATTTTAGTTTGGTGAAGATTTTTTTAATTATTTTCCTCATGCCTAAAGTGTTTGGAAGTTATCTTAAAATGGATCTCCTTGTGGGTAAAAACTATACTTTATTATCCCTTGTCAGCTTTACAATGTTGTATAAAATCTGAGAAATTGCACATTAAAATTGAAGTAACCCAATTACTATTTATGAAGTGAGTGTACTGCCAATAATCGTTTGCAAGTTATGAAATTGAAAGGAAGCAGATGAGATCAGGCTTTCCTTCCTCAGGCATAAAATAGCCTGAGAGTCTTTTTATTGTGCTTTTTGCCATGAGAGAAATGAAAAATTAGTGTATGACTGCTACCGTCATAGCATTAACTAAGAATATGTCACTAAAAGTACCATGAGGGTATTTTGTTCTTACTTCCTGGTTATATTTTGAAACATAAGTGGCTGTAAGTAGGGACAGGAGTTTGGTGATATACAAATAACCTGGAATTAAAATGTTTGTTTTACTTGCTCTATTTATCCCCGTATTTCCCTAAATCAATTGAAATTCTTTGTTATACTTCCATTTCTATTCATACAGTATTTTTTTCATTAAAAGCATACATAGAAAAGCCATTTTATGTTCTGAATGTTCTTAAACTGCCCTGTATTTTTAATGCTGCTTGACAGATACATCTTCATGTGGTTGGAATTCAATACAAACTTGATTTCTCGTTATTATTAAAAGGTCGTAGTAATGTAAAGCTACACACTTAAGATTTCCACCGTAACTTTAGTTTCAGTTATTATCACTAATGCCTTATAAAAAATGGGATTTCAGGTTAATCCAAACAACTCCTTTGGTGCCAACTTGCTCCCACAGTTACTCTGGCAGCAGAGGAGAGGAGAGCGCAATGCTGCCTCTTTGCTCCTCTGTGCCCACTCCCTGCGGTGTTCCCCTAGTTAGGGCCTAGTCTGCACTCTGTCTTGTGAGAGCTAGAGAGAGGGGAAAAACAACAACACCATAGTGTATAAAAACACTTGGGATGTCAAGCCTGGGAATGCTGGAAAAGCCTTACTGGCATACCTTGCAGGGACTGGGATGTAGTCTTCTTGGCTGGATTTATGTGTTTTGAACAACAGGATAATCCTTGTCAAAATTATTTTGTGGATTTAGTCACAGATTTCTCTATCTAGCTTTGAAAATGTCAGCTGGTCTGCATAGTGATTTCAGGGAATTCAGTGAAAACTGCACATACAATTATTTCATTAACAAACTGGCTTTGTATGCAGATGGATCAGGCAGCAGAAGGAAGTCATCAGGAAACATTTTTACAGGTGCACAGACACCAAATCTGTGTCATGGTCCAGTTACCAACATGGGTAAATATTGAACTCTTGAAACATCCCAAACTAAATTAATTCAAAGATCTGTATTTAAACTGGATGATGGCTATTTGCAATCAATTTTTCTTCCTACTTTTAGCTATGGCTCAAGTAAAAAATAAACGTTTTGTATCAATATATTTGCATGCCAGCTTGGGTGCTCATATTCCAGATAGTAGTGACCCAGAGAAACTTACCACATTTTACCACATTGTCCTGGTTTCAGTTAGAACATTTAGGTAAAACTAAAATAAAAGTCCCAAGAATGGAAAATCGAAATATCCTATGAAAAAAATAATAAAGAAAAATGAAAATTGCAGGGAAAATGTTATTTAAAGAGAAGAGAGTATAAAACTAGAATTTTCCAAAAATATTCATAGACAAATAAATTAAAGTGCAGAACAGTCAACATAACCCAGAAAATCTTTCAAATATTGCTAGGTGTTATAATGAGTAGAACAGCCTCCTGAGAAGTTACTGCTCTATTTAGCATTCACATCTTGATTTTTTTTTTATCGAGAGCATAATAAAGATACATATTTTCATATTCAATACATCCCCAATTTTGACATGATGAATTTTTCTCTAGATACTACTTTGAACTCTGTAGCTTTGCTGACCTAATAGCTAAAAGTTCGTTGTTTTTTTTTAAAGGAAAACTTTTGTTGTCATGTTATACTGTATTTTCCAAAAGATAATATGATTTGTGTCCTTCTGTTATTTAAGGAGAGACCTTAAATTACTCTGTTAACTAGGTCCTTTGTAAGTATAGCACTGTAAAAAAGCATTATATACGGTTGTTTCAGAGATGTGTTTATGTCATGTTTCACCCAGGATTGTAGAAGCCACTTTCAGCTTTTGGGTTCAGCTGCCAATGAAACCTCCAGTTTTGTAACATCTGACTGCAGCCTGGGACAACTGCAGTCGTGGTCAAACAAACCAGCAGAGCATCTGAAGCTTGTGCTCACGATTCACCCATGGCCAGAATGCAGGGAAAGCCAGTGAAAGGCTCAGATGGCAGCAGGAGTTTCTAAATGGCTAAAGCTATACAGCTGCAGTCTGTTACACAGAGAAAGTGCATTTCTTGCTGTTATTCAGGTTAGCAAAAGTAAACGTGCCACTACAATGGCAAATGCGTTTGCTTCAGACCACTTAAGAAAACAGTGAAGTAAATGAGTTTAAAAAAACAAGACCTGTGCTATCTATTTCCTATTATTACTAAGTAACTTCCTTCCATCATAACAAATGCTGAACAAGCTTAATTTAAGTATTCCAGTTAGCAAGGATATGACTCATGCAGCCTTGAAACAGCCAAATTCTAGGGTAATTGTACATTTGAAAAGTCTGGAAGATAAGAACCTGCAGGTTTGAGTTTGGCAGCTCGATTTTTTTATTTTTTTTATTTTTTCTAACACTTCCCCTTCCACAGTTATCTCTGCTCCAGCTGTTTTTGTGAATTAATCATCTTTGGAAATGTGTCACCTTTCTCTCCCCAAAGGCTTTATTGCCACCTAAGCTTTTGTGAGCATGACACATGGCTCCTTTTTCCCTACCTAACATTCTTTGCTTGCTCAGCGCTCAGGATGGCAGCACACAGATGTCAGCGGTGCTGTCATTTTGGCAGCACCACGTTGTGCACTGATAGAAGAGGACTGCGGGGAAAGGAGGTTTGCTTCAGGCAGAGACATAGCAGCAGGACCACTGTCCCTGGCCAGCAGGATTATCAGGAAAACTGGCAGAACCCATTATAGCAGGGCTTTCTTCTCCCAAGCACATACTTCTACATGTGCACACCCACAGCCCTGAGGGTCTTCTCCCTCCTGTTACAGCATCCTTGCACATATATACACAGAGAAGAGGGGAGAAGATGCCAAATCAAGCTCTGATTTCCCAAATCAGTGAGCATTAATACCTGCTGTGATGTATGCAGAAGTCATGCTTTCAACACTTGAAGTGCTCTGTGATGCACCACAGTGCATCTAAGGTGCTCTAAATACTCCAGACTGTGATACCTTGTGTATCTCTGAACAGGCCCCATTAATGCACATTTTATGTGAGGCACATCTGTGTGTGCCTCAGTTCCAGCTGAAAGAAGGAGGTGGGTGGGCAAATAAGGAAAATTAATTTATCTTACCACGGCACAATGTAGGAAAAGTAATGTGGGAGACTCACAGATAATACACTGATGAACATCCTTGGAAAATACATGATGAAACTATTGACTGTCTTCTTGACAATCTACCTTGCTTGAACCAGTATCAGCCACCTACAGGTTCTTCAGTGTTCTTCACAAAGAGTGCTATGCATTAGTCATAGCTGTATGCATGAAAGATGGCAATCATTCACACAATACCTCAGCCCAGGCTTTCTAGACTGCACAGTCCAGTGGTTCAAACTGTAGAAAGCACAAGATTTAGCATGAGTCACTCAGCATTTCTACACGTTGATCACCAGTTCCCCCTTCTAAACCTCAGTTCCTTTAATTCCCCCATACTCTTTACCCCTTCCTGAGCAAGCAGCATCAGTCTGGAGCTCAGATCCGGTTGACTGGTGGTCTCATGACGTGGTCTGATGATTGCTGCATCCTTCATACAGTTTCCAAAAGTTACAACCATACAATGTTTTGTGGCTTGGTGCTGGTACACAACAGCAAGATCCTTTGCCAGCTTGTAGGTGCTGGCTGTGAGATATGTTTTCTTTCTCTGAACTACGTAGTAACATATGAGAATAGTTGCTCCATGGATTTAATTATTTGTCTGAATTTTATATTAAACTTTAATACAGAAATTAGGGAAATGAAATGAGGATGTGAGTGCTGATGTAACAAACGTGTGGCGAGGGGCGAGGCTATCTTTTGGGTGCTCAGGATTAGTACAGGGATATGAGAACTGCAAGTGACAGAAAGGAACTAGTTACAGCTGAGAAGAGGAACTGGTGAGTGAGTTGTATGCCTTAACTGCTTTCTTGCTTGCTTTTTATGGCTAGCATCAGTGGGATGTACAGACTGTTATCCTTAGCTCAAAATTAAAAAGCTTTTGTTTGGACGTTTCCCAAGGCTTTTCTACACAAACATTTTGTACTGGAATATTTACTTCATTTAGGGTTATGCTTTTGTCTAATATGCCTAGTACCAGTGGAGCTACCTGTGGTATAGATGCTTATAGCACTGTAGGTGGTTCTCATATAGAAAGAGGAATAACCATTATATGGCTCTGTTCTTCTAGTACAGATGAATCCATGCCGAGGGCTGTATTTGCATTAAAAATACTCAAATTATAGCCTTGATAAATAGCCTATGTGTTGTAAAAACTACACTGAAGCTAGAGCACTTTGGCACTGAAATAAATGCATCCCCACTAATCGGCCTTTACTGCTTTCATTGCACAAGCTGAGTTTGTTGCTTTTATTAACTAGATCCGCAGTTACCCACACGAAGGGGCAGTGATGTGATGTTCTGTGATGAAAAACCTCCCACTTCTGTCTTGTGACTGCTCCACAAGCATATGGCACATCCCGGTGCGCAACCCAGGCTGCCCTGTGCCTACAGACTTCCTCCGCAGCACTGATTACTTCAGTCCCTCCTGCTTCTTCCTTTGACTCGTGTCTGTTGCTCTCCCCTGCTCTGCCTGAGCAGCTTAAATAAGTCAACCACACTCAGAATTGGTAAGAGTAGCCAGAAGCAAAGACATCATTTGAAAACACCACCTGCTAAATACCTTAACCACCTCTCAGTCAGACCCTTCTGTATCCATGTCCTTACAGAAAATACTAAGCAAGTATTAATACTCATGGGAGACTGGCACATTCAAACATACTCATAAATACAGTTCTAAATGTTTGGCATATCTGGGGATCCCAGCCCCTTGTGGAGTGTTTAATCAGACAAGAAGCCCACTACTCCTATACGAAATAATACCTCCTTTTGAATTTACCTGCATTCAAGGAGAATGTGAACACTAATTTGTGAAATAATTTCAGAAAAGAAGGATTCTTTCAAGGAAAAAATATCTACATAAAAGTTCCAAGATAAACTAACTTACATCCAGGTATGCACTCAAATGTGCTAAAAATGTGCCTAAATCCATTTATGACCCTTCGAAAAACTCTCATTAACTTAAGTCCGTGGAAGATGCTCTTACATCTGACTGTGTGAGCTCCCTCTGGTGGGTAACGTGAGATCTACCACTACCACTGCAAGGCAGATACAGATGCCTCAGTAAATACTTCCAGTATACAGTCACATTTATCCAAGTGG